TCTCTATTTGAAGGTTGGGGTTGCGTTCAGAATCTAAACTTATAGAAACATTGTTTTTTATTTCAAATAGGTTTTATTAGCATTACACCTTATAAAAATCCAATGCTGAATAGATCGCCTCTTAAGGGGGGATACTGCCATAGTTGCCACGCTTGGTAGGCAGGGCTTGGAAACCGCAGTTTTATTCTAATTTTAAGTTGTTATCTCTCTGTCTGTTTAGACTACGACACTAGACACGGTACACTCAGTGTATACATCGAGTGTCTCTGTATGAACGCTAGTATCGCATCAGTCGCTGTGTAAATACGTTGCGTCCAAGTGTTTTCTAGTGTAGTTGAAAAGTTTTTGAACAGGTTTGACATTTTCGATACACCGCACCGCCTTTTGAGTACACAAAATTAGTTTTACGTGGAGTAAGGAGTCTACAAAGAGTCTTATCATTTTTGTAGAAGGGCTATCACAGCTTTGGAATATTTTAATATATAATATAATAAAAATAGAGTTAAAAAGCAGGCTGCGCTGGAAAGCTTAGCAGAACAGTTTAACTAAGTATTATTATAAATAAATATTCGTTTTTATAACCTTGCTGATTTTCTGTGCGTAACTGATTCAGCAATCTATGGTAAGCTCTTAATTCTTGCCGTTTTTTAACCCTAGATCACTAACCTTATTTTACTACGCTTATTACTAACCTTCGTCGTTTCGACTACGGTGTATAAAAGGGAGGCTTCTAAGGGTTTATGAAATAAAATATTTATATGTGTTTTACTTATTTATTACAATAATCATTTGTTAACATGTTCATAAGTTTTTTGTCTACTAAAATCATATTTTAATTACTTTGACACTCTTTTAATTCAGACCTGAGTTTTTACTCATTTGAACATTTTTGTTTTTTTAAATGCTTGTTTCTTATGAACTAAAAGAATCAAAGACTTAAGAAAGTATTAAAATATTAAAATTAAGTAATAAAATCAACAAAAGAAAGAAACAGTTTAGAAAAAAAGTATTAATAAATACATTTGTGACAAATGTCAAATTTGTGTTCGCCACACAAGGATTTGTTGCGCTTGGTGCAACAACTCTTTGTCATTCTTCGCTTTGCGGAGTGACAAATTGCACAAATTTTTCTTTTTTTAGCGATAGGAAGACTAACTGCATCTTCTCTTTGATCAGTCTCATGTGTAGAAGTAGAACTACTGGTTTCTGGCATATTCAAAATCGCTGTTATTGAGTCCCGCAGCCCCGTTTGAAGTGTCGGAATTTGTAATCTTTTTTTGCATGTGTGGCTCGACTAATTTTTGATGCCCTTAAATTGATCGTAAAACTCGACAGCCGTGGGCTTTTTGGTTAAGTCATCAATTGTCCCTTCCTTATCACAAGTCGACAATAGGAATATTGTCTTTTGGGGATTTGGCTTGTATGTACTGTTGATGTGCTTGCCTTCAGTTAAAGGTGGCTGTTCTGTCACAGAAAAAAAATTCTTCCTCACAATCCGTTTCATAAGGCGGATCAGCCTCAAAGTTGTCTACTATCTCACTCTTAGAGCAGTTTTTCTTCGTCACTATTATCATCTAACAACAGCTGACTAATAGTATCTAAAATAAAAATATAATCAAATAAAAATAATGTAAGTTCTAATTTCAATGTAGGCAAAATAAGTACAAAGTTTACAAAACACCGAAATAATTATAACACCAAAAAAAAAAGAAAAATAAATTTGCAAGAATAACGTTAATACTAACCTTCGTCGATTCGACGACTCATGGTGGCTGGAACGGCACACCCAGGGCCCCTACACAAAAAACACATTCGTGTGCCGCGGGAGCCTTGAGTCAACTAAGATCAGCCGGGATCTGAAAAGCCTACGACGACGCACTCAAAATTTATACCACTTTTTTTGAGTCCGCGTCGTCGTTTTGACGAAGGTTAGTGATCTAGGGTTGAATCCACTGGTGTACCTAAATACTGCCTTTTGGTCTTTTTCGATTTTTATCACAATAATATCAATAGCGGCTGTACGACGTTTATCCTTGCTGACCGAGCATCGCGTACTAGTTTGCGTATGAACATCTCGGACACAATTTTCGTACTTACAAATAGACACCACTCAGTCACAAAAAATCCGTACAGATATAAACAGTATGGAAATTAATGTCTGACATTTATGTCGGAATTTCTGTCGTATTACGTAAACGTATGTGCATAGTACAGCCAGGCCAGTAGTATAGGCCCTTAATTATATAACACTAGTTGGTGCCCGCGACTTCGTTTGCGCAGGATTAGTATTTCAAGTAGCTTATAATAGCGTGAGGTAGAAGAGAACTAACATTATGACATTAAAATTATCATATAAATAATTTTTCGGTCCAGTAGACCCCACCTCATCCGGCGTGCGTCGGACCGCCCGCCCAGCCCCCGCACCCTTCGCCCGCCCCCGCCGGCGGCGCCGTGTCATATGTGTTACTCTAGCGGTATCTATGTACTATTCTGATGTACGAGTATAATCTATATTTTTGTAGGTTCATTAAAATCCATTCAGTAGTTTTTACGTGTAAGAGTAACAAACATCTATCCATCCATACTTACAAACTTTTTCGTTTAGGATATTATCCTATTAATATTATACTGGAATAACTTATACTGTAGTAAACTGTACTATATTTAGTTACTGTGTGTCTTACACACTTACTTGTGTGCGTATTTTATATCGCATTTACCATTTGAATGCTCTAAGGAATTGCTCGGACTGATTCAAGCAGCTCAATTTCATAATCTCACATCGCAACAAAACTATACGATACCATCCATACCATCTGGATGATTGGCGGTCTACCACTGTGCGATTTACAAGAAGTTTTCTTCCTCGCACAACGTCCTTGCCGAATCGACTACCACCAGCGATTTGTCAGAACCGATACGATTTAGGGACCTACAAGAAAGGAGCCTACTCTTTCTTAAAAGACCAGCAGTTACTTACGATCAGGTGAGCCGAATGCTTATTTACCTCCCTCTTCTATAAAAAAGTAAGACAGCAAGTAGTACAAGAAATAAATTCACAAATACCTGTTGTATTATTAACAAGTACGAGTAACAAGTACAAATAATTTGTAAAAGTAGCAAGTTATAGTAGGTAATAAGAGTAGCAAGTAGTACTATTACGTATTAGAAGCAAATAAGTCTAACAAATACTAGTGACAAGTAAGGGAATAAGTACTTAAACTAAGCTTACTACCGTCGCTGCCGCCGGTAAATTTTCGCAACGCCGCTGCCGATTTGGGATCAATATGAGATAAACGCGAGTTCAAATTATTATCATTATTGTAAGTTGCTTATAAATTAATTTTTAATCAACAAACGCATTCAAAATTAGAACTGATATTGTAAAATAGTAAAGTCCTTTAGATCGAATCTCGGTCTCATCGACCAGTCTCAGCGGAGACAAGTCATAGCAGAATATCAGCGTAAAATAGCAGCTTAATGCTGCTGTGTTTTGTATGGTGGGTGTAGAGAACCGGATACCCTTTTTACTGGAAACGAGGCATTGCATCGTTATCCTCAAGGGTGATACATTTTGATTCTTAATGGAAGATAAATGTAGATATCTTTGAGCCACAGCATCCACTTACCATCAGGTGGAATGTATGCTCGTTTGTATATTGTATATTTACGTTGTATTTGTAAGTTTATGTAAGTATTACTTATCTTATAATCAAATAAACAAAAGTAATCTATATTTCTACTTATATTATACTTACTAAAAATAATAATTATGCCTACCGTACTAAATAATAAATCTCTTCGAGAATCGAATTAGCTGTAAGAAAGGACGCAAACTGAACATAACCGAACATAAACAAAAACGTTGGGGTCGCGCACTCGGCGATCGCGCATCATTGCTGGGACCGCCCCTCCACCCCCGCTTTGCGCTGGTGCTCCATTCATGTCAATCTTATCGTGATAACTTTTAAACTATTCGTCCAAATTACTTTGTGTAAAAGACAAAGTTCATCTACATTAAATATTGAAAGCGACAAATGTATCACTTTTAATAATAATTTGATAAATACTATTGTGCATTGTAAAAAATTAATCAAATTTAATTGTATTTATGGCTCACTATTTTCCTTCCACATAAAAGGTAGGTATATGCTGTCGCGGACTTTTATTTCGAACTATTTAAGACAAACAATCCCACGGTATATTATCTTCGTGTAACTCCAAATGTTTAGGCAACGCACGTCAATATAACTCTCAGAAGGCAGGAATTTTTTTCGACTTACTTGATACTTAAGATATTATGGCCAAATTACACAAAATCTCTATAAATTGTAGCCTATGTATTATTCTGATGTACAAACTATATTACTGTAACATTTCATCTAAATCCGTTCTGTAGTTTTTATGTGAAAGAGTAACAAACATCCATCCATCCATCCATTCATACTTACAAACTTTCGCGTTTATAATATTAGTAGGTTTGCATAACAAAAAACTTTAACTTAGTGCCAACTAGCGACATCTGGTGCACGGAAGACTATTAGAATTAGAATAAAAAAATCTGTGAAATTCACAGCGAGCGCTTAACCCCTAAGCTATCACGGCTTGATTATGTATATATCTACATATTTTATATCATAACATAATAATATAAGAATTAAAAAAAAACTTAAATGACACGCATTGTATATGTTAGTTATTTTAGTTATTTTATTTTATCCTGGTGATCCTGATCAAGATACAAGGATAAAATTACCAAATTATTGTTTTATCGTCGGTCCTTGATACGAGTACAAATTTTCAAGTCAATCGGCCGTCTATAAACTGTTAAAATTATATTAAAATATTTTCTTATAGTTCGATATACAAATACATAGATACACGCGAAGGTAATAAAAGCATGTTAAAAATGATTATATCTAACTTCAATCATCCTGACTTTTCCGATCCGAAAATTGAACGCCATCATTTTTCTTAATTAAAGCGTTTTTTATTTCTAGGTAAGAACATGGAGGTTGAAAGTGCCAATTGCAAATATCGAGTATCGCAATGTGAAGATATCGAGCTGCTATCTGTTGAGCGACCACTGAAGATTGACCTGTGAGTTTCAAGTTTGAGATTATTATAATACATATAAGTCGTAGCACGTAAGTCTAGTGCTGAACGAAACGAGGAGGGGATAGCTGCGCATGTCGTGTCAGTAGGATGGACTACGACTGGAGAGCCAATCAGCGTGTGCGAACGATTCGCACAGCAAATTATAATATCTTAGCGACTGAGATGTTTGACGTCCCAATGTCATAGTTAACTCGGCTAGTTTTTTAATATTAATTTTTGCGTAGATCGGACCGAAAAATTAATATTAAAAAACTGGTTATAGTAGATAGCCGGGCTTACTGTGACATTGGGACGTCAAACATCTCAGTCGCCCCGTGACCGTGGGTGCTGCAAAGCACCCGAAACGTCGGGAATTAAAAATAAGTAAAAGTAGTTAATTAAACGCGATAAAATCCGTAAATTTAGTTTTATTCAAAGTAACATTAAACAACAAAAACATTCTTAAATAAGAATGTGTATAATACTTATACAAAAAAAAAAAAACTTGAATGACACCATTATATTATTTTATCCTGTGATCCTGATGAAGATACAAGCATAAAATTACCATTATTCTTAAGTCTTCATGATAGTTAATGGCTATTGCAGTCCAAAAAATTAAGTTTTATTTAAAAAGTAAATTCAAATTCAAATTCAAATTCAAATTGTTTATTGCATGTCACATTACAAATTTAAGATGGTACAATTTTGATCGGTATACATGTGACGCCCCGCAAGGGCATAGCAACACTAGAGGGCTAACTATTTTCGTATTATCTAATTTTTAAACATAAATTACAAATTATCATATCATCAACATTCAATATTATTTTATATAAATTAATTTAATTTGAAACACAATGAATAGTCTAAGTATTCTTACTTTATCGTTATTTATCGTCAAAAAATTCATTTAAATTATAGTAACATTTATTAATAAGAAATATTTTTAATTGTTTATTAAATTGCACAGGATTTTCCAGGATTTTTATGGAATTTGGTAAATGGTTATAAATCTTTATTGACATAACGTGAGGGCTGTTTGAAACTAATTTTAATTTGGAGAAGGGTATCTTAAGCTTATATAAATTTCTATTATTTCTTTTAGTCTTTTTAATAGGTGAGTAGAGTTTTGGGTGCTTCCTAACAAATTTACAAGATTCGAGGATGTAGATAGAAGTAAAAGAAGGCTTGAAAGAACTGAAAATATCATTCCGGAAGTCGGTACTAAGATATAGTGTCTGCCTCCTATGTTTAATTTCATCCATCTTTTTAAAACGTCTATTGAGGATATCCGAAGCAGAACCAGAATAACCGATACAGCCCTATGGATTAGTAAGTTGAGTTGGCAATGGGCGGCCATATTGCACGAAGAACCGGCAACCGATGAGGAAGAAAGGTTTTCGGGTGACAGCCTCGTACCGGTAGACGAAGTGTAGGACGGCCTCTAATAGATGGAGTGTCGACTTGGTAAGACATGACTCAGGACCGTGCTTTGTTGTATTCTTTGGAGAAGGCCTATGTTCAGATGTGTGTAAGGACTTGTGAAAGGCTTCAATAAATTAACGAATGAAAATCTTTTTAAAATAATACTATTTTCGTTGTTGCAGTGAGATAAATAGGCTAGAGATGTTAGTACAAGAGCTACACAAGGTGTTCTCCAGGGATCACGTGAACATCCAAGATGTACAGAAGCTGATGGCAGCTTATAAGTCTAACCCAAAAGACTGGAAGAAGTACGCCAAGTTTGACAGATTCCGGTGAGTAGTAGTTTAGTTAAACATTTTTATGCACTGATTAAATTATTTATACCAATTCCGGAAGAATGTTGTGGTCACAGTACAAATCCACGAACGCAAAGACTTTAGCGTGCTTGAAATAATTTTCATTTTTCTTTATTTTTATTGAATGACATAATTAGTAATAATACAAATAAAACTGCATTCCTAAAAGTCTTATTGCCTTAAGTTACGGTCCATTTCAGTTTGTTTTGACTGTACAGATTTAGTGTGACTGTAATTTACGTAGTTTTAATTATTTTTGGGATAAAAAATTACCTATATTAAAAATGATAGGAATCGATTCAGTAAACGATTCTGAACAAACTACTTTCTCAAAGTGCGTTAATTATGTTACATGTGTATATATATGTGTGTGTATACTCAAGAGTTATACAAAAAGATAAAGAAACATAAAAACATGACAGGACAATGGATACGTCTCTGTCTCTTGCACATCCGGTAACTTTGTCTGTTTCGTCTTGATTTTAACTGTTGGTATAATATACTAAGTTGGTCCCTTGGTTACTATATCCAACCTGTGTAAATTTGATGTCGGATAAATTAATTTATTTAATTGAACTTCCATGCACAAAGTAGTATGTACATATGGTGGATTTAGTGTCATAGGGCATTCTCTCCCAGTCAACCGTTAGGCCAAACAGAGATAGATTCGCAAGGATATTCAACTAAGTTATATTTATTTGTGCAGAAATATAGCTAGCATTGGCAGGCGCCCAGATAAAGCCAAAAAAAGTCAAGCTTTTTGGTTGCATTATCCAAATTAGACGGTGTCCGTCCTGTCCGGCTTTGGTTAGGCTTTTTATATTTGACCATTTTTTTAAATTTTTTATGTACTTAGATACACACTATTGCAATTATTGAAATTAATATTGTAATGAATATTGAATGATTAATAATAAAGAAGACTGATTCATTCAATTTTATTGTTATTTCATTAGAATTTAAGAAGATTTTATGGTAAATGATAAAAGTATTGTTTTACTTTATAAAAAAATTATCGTGTTGTACTAAGACTGAAAAATTAAGGGTAACCGGCCTCTTTACCGAAATGTCCGGCTAAGCTGGCTGGTCTGTCCGGCTTTTCGGTTGTAAGACCTGGCAATACATTATAGGTATTTTTTAACATTAGATTATCATTAAAAAACAAATATAAAAACAGAAAAAATCATTATGAAGCTGTAAACATGTTGTAGATATTATTATTTAATTTAAGTACCTATATTTAGAAGAGTTCAGTAACTGATAAGTTTTTATCTCTAGTTAAGGTGTTTTAAAAACAAGATTTTTGATAGCAAAATAAGTTTTATCATCTATTGTATAAAGAACAGTTATAGGTCAGTTGTCAGGTACAGACAAGTATAGTAAGTAAATATTTACGTTTTCAGGCTGGGCACAAGCCTCCTTTTATTTCTGTGAAGATTTTAGTACAAGATATTTTACGCCGCGCCGCTATAAGTTGGCAGATTTCACATGTACTCAATTATTTTTTGAACTCATGGATTTTTTGATCACCGAGCACGTTCTACGTTATTATTTTAAAATTTTAGGTTACGAGCATTTAACAATAGCAGAAACCAAATCGCTTTGATCGAGTGTTATGAAATTTTAAGATCAAAGTCAAAGCATACATATAAATTTACAAGGCGCAGGCTCGGCCTCACATGGAATTATACTATTCTCATCTCTGTGCTGCGACTCCCCAATCCTTCCATTTGATTGCATCCATTGCAGAGTGGTTCGAATCGTCGACGACCGAGCTCTTTCTGATCGGCTTGACTCACTGGCACTGTGAAGATATGCCGCATCGCTTTGCGTATTTTATATCGCATTTACGACGAGAGTGCTCTAAGGAATTGCTCGGACTGATTCCAGCGGCTCAATTTCACCAGCGCACATCGCACCAAAACTATACGATACCATCCATACCATCTGGATGATTGGCGGTCTACCACTCTGCGATTTACAAGAAGTTTTCTTCCTCGCACAACTTCCTTGTGGAGTCGACTACCATCAGCGATTTTTCAGAACCGATACGATTTAGGGACCTTCAATAAAAGAGCCTACTCTTTTTTAAAATGCCAGCAGTTAGTTATCAGGTGAGCCGAATACTCATTTGCCCCCCTTTCCTATAAAAAAGTAAGACAGGAATAAACCATACAAGAAAAAAGTATACGTAACAGGTACTATCAACAAGTACGAGTAACAAGTACAAATACTTTGTAAAAGTAGCAAGTTATAGTAGGTAATAAAAGTAGCAAGTAGTATTATTACGTACTAGCAGCAAGTAAATACCACAAGTGCTGGTGAGCCGCTGCCGCCGGTAAATTTTCGCAACGCCGCTGCCGATTTGCGGTCAATGTGAGATAAACGCGAGTTAAAATTATTATCATAGTTGCTTATAAATGAATTTTTAATCAACAAACGCATTCAAAATTAGAACTGATATTGTAAAATAGTAAATTACTTTAGATCGAATCTCGGTCTCACCGACCAGTCTCAACTAGACAAGTTATAGCAGAATATCAACGTAAAATAGAAGCTTAACTCACACCCATCATACAAAACACAGCAGTTTTGTATGGTCGGTGTGAGAACCAGATACCCTTTTTACTGGAAACGAGGGATTGCATCGTTGTACTCGAGGGTGATATATTTTGATTCTTAATGGAAGATAAGCAAACGATTTAGAATCACAACGTAGATGCGTTGTCACCCCTGAGGACTAATATGGATTGCCTCATTTCCAGTAGAAAAGGGTCTCCGGATCTCTACAATCACCATACAAAACAAAGCAGGATTAAGCTGCTATTTTACGCTGGTATCCTGTGAGAGCGTGGTCCTTCCCCGGTCGAGCCGACTCATTCGTGCTACAACCATAATATAGCTGCGTTGCTCTACCACGTATAAAACCTCCTTCCTGACTCCATTTTTAATACTGCTTATTAAATTTTCTTGACATAAAAACGAAATAACTGATTCTGGACGTAATAAAAATATAAATTACTTCGAAACCTTCCGCTAACTAAATACAATGATGTGTCTTACCTGGATTTAAGAGCACCTCCCGCCCTCCCTCAATTGCATGCACTAGCTCCGTCACCACTAGTCCCAGCACTACTACTCCCGGCACCACTACTTCCAACACCACTATTCCAGGTAAGACCCACCATCAACGATAATAAGACACGTGTTTCGCCTCTACACGAGGCATCCTCAGGTGATATAGACTCTACGGCGGCTGACCGCTAAGTGCCTTAACCTAAAGGTTTGTTATTGCACGGCGCGGTACTTCGCACTCGCTACTTTGGTGGGGAGCGGATACATTCGATCTATAAAACATTGAGCTTAGGCTTAGTAAATATCCCATGGTTTAATTATTATTAATATAGTAGCCAATAATTATGTAAATAGCGTTTAAAATGTATTATCTATTTTTTATTGAATTTTTAAAGCTTAAATAAGTCTCAATTAAAAAAAAAATATCTTTTTTAGTCACGTGTTTTAAAAATATATACATTGTGACATAAAGTTGAACGCTTTTAAAAGGTTATAACGCTATATAAAAACTGACATTACCGAGGAGCAGCTTAATAAGCTTGAGCGCATTCAAAATTTATGCATTAGATTTATATTTGGGCTTCGTAAATATGATCATATCTCCGAATTTCGCAAACAGCTCAAATGACTCCCGATCCGCCTTCGCAGGAATACTCACATTCTCTCCGCGTTGTATAGCGTGCTGTTTAATCCTTCCACTCCTCTTTATTTAAAAAACCGTTTCCAGTATCTCTTTCTTACCCATAATCGGTTCCTTCGATCTTCCGTCAATCTGTCTCTCTCTACACCTTTGCACTCTTCTTCCTTTTTCAAGAAATCCTTCACCGTCACTGCTGTGCGATTGTGGAACTCCTTACCTCTCCATATTCGTCGTGCTAAATCTCTTCACTCTTTCAAAAGTCTTGTTAAATCGTATTATTTAGAACGCTATTAGATAAATTACTTTACCTTTCTCGTACTCTTTTCATTTAATCTATTATATGATATTTTATATATAATTTTCACTTATCTTTATTTGTATGTATTGTTATATTTTTTATTATTATTTTGTATGCCATCCTCCATTTTAACTTTTGTTTGCATCATTCCTCTACGCAAAGGTTGTCTGGAAGAAATCACTTTCAGAGTGATAAGACCACCTATTGTACATACTTTAATTTAGTTTTAACTGTACTTGATGTTTCTGTATTGTGTTGTACAAAAAAAGAATAAATAAATCTTACCTGGATTGAAGAGCACCTCCCGCCCTCCATCAATTGCATGCACTAGCTCCGTCGCCACTAGTCCCAGCACTACTACTCCCGGCACCACTACTTCCAACACCACTATTCCAGGTAAGACACACCATCGACGATAATACGACACGTGTTTCGCCTCTACACGAGGCATCCTCAGGTGATGTAGACTCTACGGCGGCTGACCGCTAAGTGCCTTAACCTAAAGGTTTGTTATCGCACGGCGCGGTCACTCGCTACTTTGGTGGGGAGCGGATATGTCGGCGTGTATAATTAGCAGCAGTTTCGGCTCGCCGCTCACTTAACGGTCAGCCGCCGTAGAGTCTACATCACCTGAGGATGCCTCGTGTAGAGGCAAAACACGTGTCGTATTATCGTCGATGGTATCTTACCTGGAATAGTGGTGTTGGAAGTAGTGGTTGCCGGGAGTAGTGGTGCTGGGACTAGTGGTGACGGAGTTAGTGCATGCAATTGAGGGAGGGCGGGAGATGCTCTTCAATCCAGGTAAGACACATCATTGTGTTTAGTTAGCGGAAGGTTGCGAAGTAATTTATATTTTTATTATAATGGATTTCCGCAAAGTAACGCCTGATTCTATCAATGATTCTGGACGACCCAAAACTTGAATCCTGGACATTATAATCAGTAATCAAGCCTGGCAAACAGACTAACAAGGCAGTTAAAAGCATACATAAAAAGTATGAGTAACGGGCTAGTCACAAGTAGTCGTAACAAGAACTAGTAACAAAAACTAGTTCATCAAGTTAAGTTCATTAGTTTTTTTTAGTCAAATGCATACAGACATAACAAAAAAATACGTTAAGGTACGACGTTAGATTTTTGTTTATAAAAGAAAAATACGAACAGTATCTCGATTTATAACCTGTACACAGCCACTGTATTTATAATAATGACAAAAAGCAGGGAGAAAGAGCTCCACGGAAAGCTGTACTAGGCTCTTCATGAGCCTTTCATAGACACAGTTGCTTCCCTCCACTAGCTACGCTTGGGGACCTCTTCGGGGAAACCGAGGGTTTAGTTTGTGCAGTACAGGATCAGATTATTAAGACCAACAACTATCGGAGATACATCCTACAGGATGGCCGTTGACGTCTGTCGAGCTTGTCGCCATCCCGGTGAGTCCCTTAGGCAAGTCATCTCTGGTTGTTTGGCACTTTCTAACTCTTAGTACTTGTACAAGCATCTAGTAGCAATGATTCCACACCAGGAGTTCGCTCAGAAATACGGTCTCGTGAATCGGAAACTGCCTTATTATACTTAACTTTCAATAAAAATTTATATAAAATAATATTGAATGTTGATGATATGATAATTTGTAATTTATGTTTAAAAATTAGATAATACGAAAAAAGCCCTCTAGTGTTGCATGCCCTTGCGGGGCGTCACATGTATACCGATCAAAATTATACCATCTTAAATTTGTAATGTGACATGCAATAAACAATTTGAATTTGAATTTGAACTACTTGCCGGAAGCCGTTCTCGAAAATGACCGTGTCAGGCTCTACCGGAACAGGGCCATCATCACAGACAGGACTATTCTTGTGAATAAGCATGATATTGTGCTAATAGACCGAGCAAAGTCAAGGATATTTTTGGTTGTAGCGGCGCTGTTGTCGCGCCACTAGCACACCGAAACACCCCGAAGCCTAAATTGCGCTATTAACATTCCGAATCATAGACAGTATATATAGAACATCTCCGAACTATCACACGGAGTGTTGGCCGCTCCCCGGGCAGAACACCTTGCCCGGCGGGAGATCTCCCCTTTTCCTACTTCGGCCACAGTGGTGACCCCGACGTAATCTGAACACGCAACCAGACAACCTTCGGAAACTTCAAGCTTCATCATCGTCATAGAATACCCCACCCATTCGCCCCCCGAGCAGATATCGTCTGCAGTCTTCATATCCTGCAAGCCATCTAGCTTCACAAGGTTCATCGCAGCACTGGAATAATAATGCTTCCTGTTCCTTCAAGCTACTCTCTGCGCCATAAAGTGTTCGGCACGGCTCTGAGCCTTAATTCTCGCCTCTGCTTCACGGCACTCTCGCAGATTACTTGCCTTCTTCTCGACTCACCGCAGACTACAAGGTAATCTCCTGGCATTTGCACATTTGTCGGCAACGAGGCTGCACTATCGACCTCCGGTCTGAGCAGGGGGGTGATGTAGCGGCGCTGTCGTCGCGCCACTAGCACACCGAAACACACCGAAGCCTAAATCACGCTATTAACATTCCGAATCATAGCCAGTATATATAGAACTTCGGAGTGTTGGCCGCTCCCCGGGCAGAAGACCTTGCCCGGCGGGAGATCTCCCCTTTTCCTTCATCGGCCACATGGTCAACATTACTATTCCATATGACAAGAACCTTGTGATAGCCGAAACAGACAAATATCTGGACCTGACTCATGAGGTGACTGACATGTGGGGTGGTCTGAAATTATTCCTGCAGACGTTTTTACGAATGAGCTAATCCCGACCAGCCTCTCGAGTCATCTAAGGCGACTGGTACTCCGTGATGGACCGCTCCGGGGTCATATGCAGAAGACGGTACTCCTCGATACCGTCCGCATCATCAGCCAGTTTCTTTCCCTTTCTCCCTAACCCTCGGCCGTTTGTTCTTCCCTGCCGAGGGCTTCCATCTGGTTGGGCTTTTATTTATTTATGTATTATTTATTTATTTAACACAGTATATCTTAATATATATAAATTACCTGTCACGTTGTTTGTCCGCGATAGACTCCTAAACTACTAAACCGATTTTAATCAAATTTGCAGTTTGGCCCTACTTGAGAGATAGGATATTCTTTTTGCCCATGAGTGACCCACATTTTTTTGCGAGTTAAAGGATTTTTAATAGGACATGACAAAGGGTCGTCGAAAAGGGCAGAACAACGTCTGCCTGGCATGCTGGTTTAGTATATATTTACGTATATTTATTATTTTCTTTTATATATTTAATCAGTCTAATCAGATGATAATACTTTATAAATACCCCTATAATAATTATGTCCCACAGACTGAATTTCAGTCGCTGCGGCATATCTGAACGGAGACTTATGGGCTTTCAAGAAGAGAACCTACTCCTTTTTAAAAGGCCGGCAACGCATCTGCAATCCCCCTGGTGTTGCAGTTGTTCACGGGCGGCGGTAATCACTTACCATCAGGTGAGCCGTATGCTCGTTTGCCCCCTGTCCTATGAAAAAAAGACTAGCCATCTGTGTAGGACAGGATTATAGCACCCGAGTGTATGCATCATCACAGGTGCACTCTCTGTTCCCTTGTGATGTCGTCTTCATGTACCATGATACATGGAGGTTTAGGGCCTCGGGATATGCCCCCATTACCCGTGTTGTCCTCGCGGTCCACCACTATGGACCGATCCTGGGAGCCTTCTAATGGCGTTGTAGGTGTTGTTATCGGAATTTTCCGTAATTGGTAGATTTTTTAGTAGTCGGTTAGACTACGAAAAAGTGAGGTTATCTAGTAAAGTCAAGGTTGGCCTATCAGCGGCATTGTGGGTTGTTACTCGACTCTCTAATCGATATAGAGAGGAGTTCTCTTGGATAGGGTCGCCCGTCCGGAGGGCGAGTGTGTAGCGGCGCTAAGTTGTTGAGATGTATGTGTGGCCCGTTGTCTGTTACTCTCCTAGTCTGATGAGATAGTAATCCGACGCGACCGGAGAAAGATAAGACGTAGGATCAACGGCTTTATGTGCTCTCTGAGGTACGTGAGTAAAACACCGCGAAATTCCTGACCCAGGGCTGTACTAGACAAACGAGTCTAATATAGTCACTGTATTTTTAAATGTTTTGAAGAAATCTTAGTAACTGATAGGTTTTATCGGTCACTAAGGTATCTTAAAAAAATAATGTATTGGTAAAAACATTTTTGTTTCAATAACTTTTATCTTAGGTCGCATTGTATATTTTTTTTTATAAAAGGCTATGAAAGAAATCTATCCGTTTTCTTTGTTTATTTGAATTAATAGTAGGTATTTAAAAATAAAACTGTGTAGTGGCTTAAGAATATCTAGTACCCCATATCGAACCGATGACCGAAAATGAAACATGAGATGATAGCAACTTAATATAGTAAAAAACTACAGATGTTAACTCTCTTGTCACTATGGCAACTATGTTATAACTATGTTATTTGTTTAAATTAATATTATGACAATCGGCAACAGTTATCAACGCGACGCGTGGCCTTTTTATTGTTGCTTTATCTTCAACTCGAAAAATAAATCACTGAAAACATTGCGATTATACGAGTATCTCCAAATGCGTAAACATTCTCTGTTTTTAAAATGCGTTTAGAAATTTTTCATACAACACGATAATCTTAATAAAGTTACGTGATTGATAAAAGTAGAACTGTGTATTTTACAAATTAGAAATACTTTTATGATATAATATACATTCGGTCTATAAAAAAATGAGCTTAGGCTTAGTAAACATCCCATGGTTTAATTTTTTTTTACTATAGTAGCTATAAATTCTAGTACTATAGCTAGTATAATTCTTATTTTGAATATAGTAGCCAATAATTATGTAAACAGCGTTTAAAATGTATTATCTATTTTTTTATTCAAATGCTAATTTTATTTATTTATGCTTTATTTGCACATTTAATTTACAAATAATTTATTCTATTTTTACTTATAAGTCATTCCATTATTTCAGGTACACGAGAAACCTGGTCGATGCTGGCAATGGCGCATTCAACATAATGGTCCTATGCTGGGGATCGGGACACGCGTCGGCAATACACGACCATGCTGATTCACATTGTTTCATGAAAATCTTAAGCGGGAGCTTGGAGGAAGTTAGGTAGGTGAAATATACTGGTAACTTTTATGAGTGCCGTTTGGTTACTTAGTCATGAGTCTTAGGCTCATTTCAGTAAATTAATACATTTTTGATTTTAGTGTTTTTATTCTGCATCACTGTTCTTAAATCTAATTTAAGAACAGTGTTGTGTGATAAGATCAGTTCCGATACCCTCTCCCTGGTAAAATAAGTACTTCCCGTATCAGTAGCTACGGTAATCATTTGGTTTCTTTTTTTATGAATTTATCTGCCTGAAATTCGCGCGAAGTGTTGCTTGCTTGTTTAGTTTCCGTGTTATCATTTAAATTTTACTATCTTCATTGTTAGTTTTCTAATATAGATTTTAACTGTTTGACGTCATTGTTTACAATAAAATAGAGTTTCATGGTAAATGTAACTAAATATGAGCTCTGGTGGAACTCGTAGTTAATCACCATATGAAATGTAGGAGTGATAAAAAAAAAAAAAATTTTAAATAAACGAAAACAAAAAAAAAAAGGGGGGGGGGGGGGAGGTTTCCATGTCTTTTTTTTAAAAAAAAAAAAAAAAAAAAAAAAAAAGTAGACCGACAACGCCGGGAGCACCCGAAACGTCGGGATAATAAAAATTGCTGTATGTAATAATGTATGTATAATGCAACAAAATTGCTTAAAATTGGAAGTAGTTTTTTTAAGATTATCGCGTCTGACAACACCTTAAAGATCTTTGATACACAATTTTAAAAATGTGTTATTGATTAGTTTGCATTTATTTTCTTTGTCATGTAATTTTGCCGAATAAATTATTCCTAAATTGTAGTCTCCATTTATTTAATGACTTCTAATATTTACACGAACACTACACATTAAATGAAACATTTTTACGGGTTTCATCGCTTTTAATTTTGACTTTTTAATCCTCGACGTTTCGGGTGCTTTACGACACCCGTAGTCATGGGAGGCACTGAGGTGTTTGACATCTCAAACACCTCAGTGCCTCCCACAGTTTTACGGCGCCTCTACACATTGGCCAACACAGTGGCGAATGTAGTGGCCAATAGCATTGGCCAACGTGTAGACGGGGTGTTTGGGCTTCATTGGTATGTATTGGAACGATGGCCCGCAAGTTGGCGCGAGATCCATGTGGTGTCGGTTTTTTACAAAAGATCAAAGGATTGTTGGCAGAGTTTGGTCGCCGCGTCCACACGTTGGCCGCGCGTTTAGTTTACCACAAGCTCCCAGAGTGATTACATGCATCTGATTTAAATTTTATATTCAAGCTTTGTAGGGTGGATGCCCCCATTACCAGCCTTTTAGTGCCAATTTCAACTTTAAACATTCCTACTACTTTAATTAGCGCGATTTAATTATTTTGAACATTTGTTTTAATCAATAAGCTACTTATCAAAAAAAATTAACGTTTTTTTTACAATCAGATTATTACGAGAACAATTTTAAAATGAAAAAAAAATGAAGCACGTCGTTTATACGTGGTAGAACCATGCAGTTATATTAGAAGTATAGTTGCAGCACGAAGGTCGGCTCGACCGGGGAAGGAGTGATTACACGCACCTGATTTAAATTTTATATTCACGCTTTGTAGGGTGGTGCCCCTATTAGCCTTTTAGTGCTAATTTCAACTACTACTTTAATTAGCGCGATTTAATTATTTTTAAATATTTGTTTTAATCGATAAGCTATTTATCAAAACAAATAATGAACATTTATTTACAATCAGATTATTACGAGGACAATTTTAAAATGAAAAAAATGAAGCACATCGTTTATGTGTGGTAGAACCATGCAGTTATATTAGATGTATAGTTGTAGCACGAATGGGTGGGCCCGACCGTGGAAGGACCACGCTCTCACAGAATATCAGCGTAAAATGGTAGCTTAATGGTGCTGTGTTTCGTATAGTGAGTGTAGAGAACCAGAGACCCTTTTTAAAGGAAACGAGGCATTTCATCTTAGTCCTCACGGGTGACAACGCATCTGCATTTTGATTCGTAATCGAGGATAGATGTAGATGTCTGTGGGCCACAGCAACCACTTACCATCAGGTGAACTGTGTGCTCGTTTGTCACACTATCCTATAAAAAAACGACGATTTCTTATAATTTAATCGTGCAAGATTTCGAATCATCATCATCATTACAGCTGTTCACAAGTCCACTACTGAACATCCTCCTCCACAGACTGCCGCAAAGCATGGTCCTGAGCCACTTTGCTCGTCATGAGTTTTTCATTTATGTTCTAAGTTATAATTAGTACCTATTATTAAGTCAATGTTAATTATATTTATTGCTATTGTTTTTGTCTTTCTCAAAAAATAATTAAATTACCAAATAATTATATGATGTTTTTTATATACATCAAATGTCTGATAGAAATGCAAGTAGGTACATATTTTGCTAAACTTTAAAATCAAAACCCAATTTTAAAACATAGACTAATCGATTATAACTCCTTTAACTTTAAAATAAGTTAAGTTCTTATTAATGGTATTTATTCCAGTTTATGATGCATGTAAAAAATAAATAAAGCTAATTGTATATCGTATATCTATTTACAGCCCCATTAATAACCACTATTATTTTATAATTCTTTTATAAAAACGTTAACCCCACACTAGGATTTTCTCTCGTATCGCGCAGGCAGTTTACAAACATAAATTGCACAAGGACACACATCCAGACCCGAAACAATTATTTGTAGGACATACAAATACTTGTTCCGTGCGAGATCAAACCCGCGGCGCTCGGCGCAGCCACTCATTGCTGAGCCACTGCGCCGCCACTCATTGCTGAGCCACTGCGCCACGGTGCTTATAAATTCGTCCGCACATTGGCCCGAACCGAAGTAAACTGAACGACCTTCCAACGTGTGGACGCCGTCACCAACTCTCGGCCAATATATTCGCCACTCCATTCGCCACTGTGTTGGCCAACGTGTAGAGGCGACATTAGAATATCAATTACTGGCCCGATCTACGCAAATGAGCTTACAGTATCCTAAATTCTTGCAGTAGTATGCTTGAACTTGGATTAAATTTTATTAATTATGGGATCCAAAGCAGATGCCAGCAAAGCATGGATGGGTCCAGCTTCTATATTGTAATTTGGAGTTTCTTTTTTTAAATTTCAATAGCCTAGCGAATCATCCTTGGTAGGAATCGGTGTTCTTAGGATTTGTGGTCTATCAAATCTAATGTAATGACGGGGATGATGAAACATGATCACAGACTGCAGACTTCCCAGAGCGTCGGTGATTCACGTCAGCTATTTGTTTTTATGTGGGTTTTTATAGATCTACACCACAGACCACACCAGAGACCACAGTCACTATCGAGCTTGTATACTCCTGCATCTTATAGAGGGATATTACACTTGACGGGTGGTAAAAACTGACTAATCTTCTTCGGCGGCTTGTGTGTGGGTTTTAATGGAAGTTCGCTTCAAGATGAATGATGTGATGTTAGTGACTCCTCTGACGTATGGTAGTACAGCAGGCATACGCGCGACCGTGGCCGGCTTCGCTCAGTGTCTGTAATGTAGACGCTGGTCCCGAAGCCTGTTGTCTTGCAATACTTGCTTGACGTGTCGAAGCCAGATGTTTTCTGTCACAAATCCCTTGTGCTCTCTGAAACAAATATTTTCCCACGATAGCCAACTGTGATGGATGGCGGTGAAATTCACCATTTAGATATCGGTTGGTATGGAATTTTTTCCTATACACAGTATGACCATTAAAATTACCAGGATTTCGGATGACCAAAACATCTAGAAAAGCTAAGGAATTATTTTCCTCTAACTCCATTGTGAATTGTATTTTAGTATTTATGGAGTTGAGGTAGTCTAAAATGCAGTTACTTTGTCAGATAGTAAATTTTTTAAAGTGTTATCTACGTACCACTTGTAGAATCTTGGATATACAGGTGCAGTGTGAACGGCTTTCTCCTCGAAGTCCACCCCATGAATATGTCGGCGACTATGAGAGATACAAGTGAGCCCATCGCCATACCGTCTAGTTGCTTGTTTCCTTCATTCCTTTTCTTCTACAATAGATAGCCAGAAGTGAGGCAGTGAGACAAATATGGACTAAAGCAGAGTAAAAGTGCATATTCTGCAGGAATGTCGTTTTCTTTAACTTTCGTAGTTACAAATAAGATGCAGTCTTCAATAGGTAGGCATATAAATAGTGACTGAAGTACAAAACTGACCATAGCTTATCAGCAAGATGTAGGTCTTTTATCTCACTAAAAAAATGGAATGAATCCTTTGTGTGCGCTCTGGTGTATCCTTTCAGTGGTGACAGAATTTTTGACACGTATTGAGTCAACGTATATGTTGGTAAATCGATCTAGCTTACTATGGGACCTCGTGTAGTTTTTGGTTTGTGTTTTTTTCGGTAACCCATACACGGGAACGGGAACATCGGGAATTAAAAAGTCAAAATTAAACGCGATCAATTCCGTAAAATTAGTTTCACTTAATCTCCCTTTACCCTACAAATAAAAACATTAATTGAGAAATGGATGTATAATGAGCAAAATTAATCAGAACTGAATTTTTTTAGCGTGATATTTTTTTATTAAAAATCTAATAAATTAGGTTGACATGGGCACTGATGGCAAACTATTGCCTATATAACCTATATTTGACCGACTTTTAATTGTGTTTTGATTTTAGATATCAGTGGCCAAGCAATGCAGAACCAGAAATAGTAAAGAAATCGAAAGCGAAAATTTCGTATTGTTCCGATAATGAAGAAAAGTCGATGGAGGACAAAATATCAGAAATAAATATTAGTTGTCAAAATAACGCCTGTCCGAATTTTAAAAGTTTGGATAGCTGCGAACAAAATGGTGACGAAGAACATTACGGAGCTGATAAAATGGAAGAAATAGGGAGGACTAAGTTAGAAGTTAATGATGTTTGTTATATAAATGGTAAGTATTTTTCATTTATCTTGTATATAATAAAAGTATTTATTGTATAAACATAATATTTAAAATACTGTCAATGGTTTTAAATCGAGCGTAGAAAGTTGAACTAAAAAAGTTTAAAGAAGAAAGTTAAAAAAAACACACATATGATGTACACGAAGAGACTGTTTATATATATATATATATATATATATATATATATATATATATATATATATATATATATAAAACAAAAAAAACATGAACAGGCTTATATATATATATAATTTTTCTGTATTTTACCACTTAAAACGCTTTACTTAATTTCTATGAATATACATTTATTAATTTTTTTATATATTATATATTACATTTATTTTATTATTGCGATGAATGTCCTGTTACAGATGCATTAGGCTTGCATCGCATGGAAAACCCATCACACGTGGATGGAGCAGTATCTCTACATTTGTATTGCCCTCCGTTTGACAGCTGCCGGATGTTCGACGTGCGGACCGGGAAGGCCACACAGATCAAAGTCACCTTCCAGTCCATGTACGGAAAGAAGGTCAATCGAGTAAGTATTTTAAGGAATACTGGTAAAGCACGCTTTAATTAGTAATAATAAGGCATTTATTCTCTAACCTTGTCTCTAAAATTTATGCAAACAAAAGCAAAATTTATCACAACATATTTATACTATTGTAGCTGATTTATGTAATCTCACCAAAACTTTGACAGTAATATCGCACCACATTCTTACAGTGCTCAAAATATGAATATCTACTTAGACACAACATTATGTTGGTCCACACTAATTCGAAATATTAGCGTGGCTGTTTTTTCTAAGCACAGCTTTTAACTTTTCTTCCGGTCAAGGTAAAGATAACTCTGGTGCAATCTCTTATTTTATTGATTATCCTGATGTGTTTTATTTTGATCTTAATGAAGTGTTCGTATACAAGCTGGATCACCTCGTCAATAACTGTATCCGTTTTGTCTTTCGTCTTCGCAAGTTTGATCATATTACCTTATTCCGTTCTCAGCGGAAATGGCTTCCTATTCGTCAGCAAAGACACGTTACTACATTTTATTTTATTCGTGAAATGATATCCAAATTATCTGAAACGTAAGTTTTAGTTCCTGCATGATACTTATGATAGACAGCTTCGTTTATCGGAGACGCTTCCTCTCTCTATACCTCTTCACAGTTCAGATTTCGTATATTAAAGCGACCTGTCAGCAAACAAAGATTTTAGACGTTTGTTCGGGCTAAAATGGTTGCTAAACTCAGACATCATCAAAGTTATCTCTATCTTCAGTCTCTATTTTACATCGTATCTTACATTGTTGTATTGTCAGTATGTTATGTATCTTCACTCGGGTAGGTTTCAATTTAGAAACATCATTGATTCTGCTCAGTGTCAAAATTAGCAAAATTAGATCCCTTGTCATCTCGAAGTTTGTGTCTTTATGTCTGTTTGACACAGAATATCTTTTGACTTCTCAGAGGCTATAGGACATAGATGGTTGAAATTTGGCATAGTGATCATACGTTGCAGGAACACAGAAGTGTTTCTCAGAATAGCATTAATATTATACGTTATGAAGGGTAAATCAAAATTATTTTGAAATCTGACTTGCATTATTTCGTTTTTCCTCAAAACAATTTTTCATAGTTAAAATTAATTTAGTTTTGATAAAATAATAGCGGCTTACATGACCTTTATTTAATTACGACATAATGTTTATTTGCAATATGTGGTTTATGTCATTGGCCCCATTTAATAATGATTAAAATAGATGCTGATATTTTTTTTACATTCCAAATAGATTAAAAAATTGCACAAATGTAGGTTCAAAATTGCATTCACAGTGAAAGTGAAAAGAACTATATTCTTTATCGGGAGTATAAATATATTGCAGAAATTTACTAAAGTATACTTTTTGGTGGCGGCGAAAGAGAATCTACTACCCTATATCCTGTGGGCGATATGAGAGGCGACAGAGCGTAACTGAATTTAGGTGATGAGCAGCAGCATCTTTCTGATAACAACTTAAAATAATAAAATATTTTTTCATACTGATTAAAAGTAATTTTACGGATGTTATTGTGAATGATTTTAACGTTAAAGTTCGTCAAATTTATTCTGGTATAGTTATGAAGGGTTTAAACAATCGATATGGGATTCGTTTATACTTGGAATGAAAATAATTTTACAGATTTTATCGCGATAAATTTTAACTTTTTTTATAGAAGAGGGGGAAAAATGAGCATACGGTTCACCTGATGTTAAGTGACTACCGCCGCCCATGAACATCCGCAACACCAGAGGAGTTGCAGGTGCATTGCCGACCCTTTAGGAAGGAGTAGGCTCTTTTCTTGAAGGTCACCAGGTCGTATCGAGCCGAAAAAATCGCCGGTGGCACACTATTCCACAGAGAGGTCGTACGCGGAAGAAAACTCCTAGTAAAACGTACAGTGGTGGACCGCCAAGCATCCAGATGGTGTGGATAGTATCGGGAGGTTTGCCGCGTGGTGCATTCATGAAATTTGGCGGCTGGGATTAATCCAAGCAATTCCGCAAAAATGCAAAGAGATGCAACGTCTCTTCGCAGCGCCAGTGAATCGAGCCGATCGGAAAGCACTCGGTCGTCGACGATTCGAGTTGCTCTGCGCTGGATGCGGTCAAGTGGAAGGAGCTAGTACTGTGGAGCCCCAGCTCAGAGATAGGAACAGTATTCCATGTGCGGCCGAACCTGCGCCTTGTAAAGTTGCAGGTGGTGTGCCGACATGAAATACTGTCCCGCTCTGCTGAGAACGCCAAGCTTTTTAGAGGCCAATCTTGGCCTTCTCTTCCAATGTCGACGCCGAGGATACCGATACTGGCTTAGGCAACAAGGGGAGTACCTTGAAACGGAGGAGATACGACAAAGGGGTTCTTTTTTGCCGTTATTACATTATTACATTGTTTTGGAGAACAAGGAGGTGATGGCGATGGGCCTGTAGTTGGACGGGTCTGAGCGGTGGCCTTTTTTAGGGATAGGGTGGATGAAAGCCGTCTTCCATGAATTTGGGACTACGTCTAGGGAGTAGGAGTACCGGAAAAGACGCCTTAAGATCGGTGCCAACTCTGGAGCACATGTACTCAGCACAATTGGGGGGGATACCGTCAGCTGACCTATAGTGCCAAACACGGCGGCAGCCTGCAGAATGCAACCGCGATTTCAGCGTGAGTGGCACCACACTCGGGACAAGACAATGGTCCGAGGAGCCTAAAGTGGCGTCGACGGGAATCTGATATCCGTCCGGATGAGAGGTCAGCATAAGATCCAACAGAAAAGGTGCATTATCCTCCACATCTGGAATCCGCGTAGGCAAAGTAACCAGTTGTGTCACACCTTAAGCTAAGGCAAAATCATGAACAGGTCTACCCGCATGATCGGTTGAACGCCCACTATGCCGAATGGTTTGGCCATTCGGCGTAGTGGGCGTTAAACTCGCTGAGGATCGCGATCTCAGCCATTTGGACTTGGTTGAAGAGTCAGTTTGTTTCAGCATTATCGCTATGAGACCTATAGAGGCACCTGTAGACGCACGGATGGTCGTCGCTGTCTACGCGTACCCAAAGGATGGACAGGTCCAAACCTTCAAGACTGCAGAGGCGTCGAGAACAGATGTCCTCTCTGACGTATACGCAACTCCAGCCCGAAGCTCAAAAGAGTGTTCCAATTTATATCCCGTGTAGGAGAGATACGAAGCATCAGCTGGAGAGGACACTTGCGTCTCGGTCAGAAAGAGTAGAGCCGGCTTAGCCGTCTCGAGATGGTAGTACGCGGGCCAGCCTGAGCACCTACGCTCAGGAGTGGAGTAACTTGATCGTGGATGTTAAACGAGGGATTCCCTAGGGGTGCTGGTACCCTCCTGGGGTATATCTTCACTTAATTCCGCTACCATGTTAAAGGGGGGAATCGAATGCAGAGCTTCCACTTCACGTCGGTATTCTGTGAGGTCGTGATACCACCCAGGTTTGAGCCGGCCCATATGTGCAACAGCAAAGCCGCCGCGTGGCTGTCTACCACTGTTAAAACTATTTTTTTATTCCCGACGTTTTTGTTTATACTTTCTTATAAAACTTACATTATCGCATTGTATTATATTATTACATTGGATTTTTATTTAAAATAAAATTAATTCATTAAACTTTTTTTTTCAACATTTCAGGTAATTGGAGCAAATAGTGTCGTCGACTGTCAATAGTAATACAAACTACAAAATACTTTTTATAGTTGTACGTTATTCTAAGTAGGATCTTAAAGCAATAAACAATACTCAGTAACTGGGAACTGGGAAACAGACCTAAAAGACTGTTTACCTTTGTACCTTTTGTTATTATTTATGTTTTTGGTAGCTTAAGCATATATTAATTTTATCTATAACTTTATACAAAGTTTAAATGGTTCAGTATAGGTTGAAACTGCCATTAAAACTATTTATTGGTATTGTGCACCTTTAATGATAATGATTTCTATCTTAAGAAAAACCTGATACTGTATACTTACATATTTATACATTTATTATAAAAGAAACTAGAACGAGAATATCAATAATTATGTATACCAAAATCATATCGATTGGAGTTGTATCGATGTCAACTGTTAAAATTACATATCATTAGTGAGAGTCACCCCTTGATGAGCTCGATTGATGAGCATTTATGCGATCTTGGCAAAAACTGAAAGACTTACGTAGATAAATAATTTGTACATTGGTCACTGATCACGGACACATTGTGACTAAATTAATTCAGTGACAAGAATGAATAAAGTTTTAAAAATTTATGTTTTTATATATTTTAGAAATTATTATAACACAATTTTAAGAAGTATATATATATATATATATATACAATTTTAAATGTAAGCGCTGGGACCAATAATTATTCCATTTTATATTAGTCTTTACAGAAATCTAAATTATGTTTTACAATGATTATACAATAACAAACTCAAAATATAATATATTTATATACAAGCTAGGTTATTTATGATATTTAGTAGTAAAGTGTAATAAATTTGGTATAAAAGTGTTTCATTAAATATGTGTTTTATTTCATTAAATATTTAAAAGTAAAGTGGCCTTCGAGAGTTATATTTGCCACAAAACAAAATTTTTTTTCACTCTGCGCTTAGGCATGAAAATACAAGGTACGAATTCAGTGAGTTTATCACTCTCGCGGTTGAGCTGACGCGTGCCTTACGTTGACAGAAAAGTATTTTTCTCTTATAAGTATTTAGGTACTTTGATATTTATTTTTGAGTTTTCATTCAAGTATGCCCACTCAAAAACCAAAAGGTACTGCATGGCATACGGACGCTTAAATAACAATAAGAATGTCAACTTTTCATTCTTTACTGTTCCTAAGGATACCGAAAGCGAAGATAATTATTATTTATAGGTATATCTAGATAATTATTTAACTAGCGGCCCGACCACAGCTTCGCAGTTTTCGATTTTTCGCGTATAATGTCAATGACCTTAAATAATCTTTCAATGTAAGTAGACCTCCCAGTACTAGTTACTGCCTATTAATGCAAGACCTAATAGTACAAAGTAGACAAGTAACTCCTTATCTATTTTTGCCGCCATACACGGGTGCCTTCACTACTGTGTTCTGGTCCAAATGGTAATTACATGATGTAAGGCTACATCTTAGTCTTTAAACATGACAACGCTACTAAAGCCTTCTTTTTTAAATAAGTTGAAGGTGTCCATAGACTACAGAAGCCACTTACCATCAGGTGGACTGTAAGCTTGATTGTCACTTGTTTGATAAATAAATAGTTTTAACGTATTTCTTACAAAAAATCTGCAAAAGGAAACAACCGTAGAAAATATAGAAAAATATGTTAAGAAAATGTATGGAGAAGAAGTACCAGTTAACGTGGAAAAAATAAAACACAAGACAGAAAGGGATTATGCCTCCTTTATTATGGGAGTCCCGGAAAGCAAATATAATAAATTGTGTTAGCCAGAAAACTGGGCAATAAATACAGAATTCTCGGAATGGGTGTGGTTTCGTAGAACAACCATCAAACCAAAAAACTCTTAATAAATCCGTGGAGATAATGTATCAAAATGTGCGTGGGCTCCGAACAAAGTTAAGGGAATTTTGCAGCAATATTTCGACTTGTTTGCCATCACGGAAACAGGTTGCAATGAATCCATTCATGACGCAGAATGAGTCGGTACATATCAAACGAGTCCAAGTCACTGCTAAGCGAATTCTGAAAAATAGATGTTATCTATTATTTACTTATATGAAGCCAAGGAGTAGAGTGCAGCACTTTTAATACATTTAAAATAATATCCACTGGCAACACTACGAAAGAAAAAGGCAAAATTACAATCAGAAATTCAAATAAACTGGTTTATAATTGGGACTAAAGCATTTTTGATAGTCACATCATGGATTTAGGCTCGTTTGAAATTAACTGTCACTGGACTTAATCAATTATGAAAAAACACAAAGTGACTTAAGCTGTTTTGATGGAATTGGGTAATAAGGGAACGGGCTCAGGGTTGGCTAATATAAAAAGAAATAAAACACTCGCCTAAAATAAAAATCGAAATTTATTTTAGAGACTAAAAATAAGGTAACAAACAGATATTCCAACATGATTTATTTATTACATAAAATTAAGGATATATTCTAATAGGAATTCAGGATTATTGTTTACTGGTATAGGCTGTAGGCTAAGGGCTGAAGTTTCATAATAAAATTTTGTACAGCTTCTCTCTTAGAATGAAAAGCATGGTGTTTTCGGTTTGCTCCACGGTTGTCTGACGGAGTTTGCCCTGTATCTGCAAATCGATTAGAAACGCCCTTAATGCGTCCTTGTTTGATTATTAAAATTCCACAAAAAGCAACAAGGCAGACAGGAAGTTTTTTTTTTGTTTTGTTCTTAGTAACAAAACATTGCTTAGAATGAGTGCGCCCATTTCGAGTGTTATTTCTTGGTCATTTTCTGTTGACAGGTTTCAACAGTAAATTTTGTAAAATAAAATTATCTTGACTAATTTTGTCAGGGTGACCGTAAAATCTGTTGTGAAAATAAAATATGTCATTCGACGTTAACGTTTCACATTTATAAGCACTCTTCTTGTTGTGACGACATTTTTGTTTTTGTGGCAAGCCTTTCGCATATTCAAATTGATTTTTAATTCATACCTAAAAGTATGAATTAAAAATCAATGTTTATGTACACATAAAATTTTGTTAATAGGAAAACCACAGTAAAGTACAAACATAACAAGTACCTACAAGTAGGCATGTTACATATAGTAGTGAAATACGAATAAAAAAAAATTACGTTGTTAGTTACTGCAAACAAGTCTTTTATGATAAATGTAAGTATCACTTTATTATTATATATATATATATATATATATATATATATATATATATATATATATATATAGAGATAGAGAGAGAGAGAAACTATTTAAAAACCTCTCATGAAGTGACCACTGGTCTCACCCGGGTGGCGGTCGACCGCTAGCAGTCCGGCCCTGTTAACTCATGTTATGAATCTCGCCTCATCATAACCATACTCAAAACAAAGTGAATTTATAACGGTTAGACTTACAAAACCTGCAGCTTTTTTTTCTGTTTTCCATTCCCCTTTAACTTTTTGTTCTTTTTAGCTAATTCTGGACTCACAACACTTATTTTATCTTCTAATATTCGATAAAAACCCATGCACACGATACAAACACCACGAGAGTAAGACGAACAATGGCGGCCATGACACAGCAGCGCAGCGCTGTCTGTGATTGGTTCAAATGGACTTTGGCATGTCTGATCTACACTGCCATTGTGACTTAGGCAGTTATGAAAAAAATCCCGAACATTTAGAACCTTATTTGTATGTGAAATAGTAGACTTAGGTCAATTTGATATAAACTGCCATTTTTTATTTTGGCGCCTAAATCTGGATTACCAAAAATGTTTGAAAATGTCTATGGTGGACTTAAGCTCATTTGATATGTACCGACACAATTAATACCACCTGGATACATCATTATACGATATGAGCGATCGGATGTACGTAAACAAGGCGGCGCGTGTCTCGTGGCCACACCGCGTTTTGAGCTTCGACGAGTATTGCTACCGAGCACGTGAACGTCGATGAACAGGTGTTTGATCTGATTTGTGCTACGGTACACAGACGTAATAGATAATTTATTCTCGCTTTGTGTTGTATATATTCCACCTTGTAGCAGTAATAATGAATATTTCTTCTATTTAACATTACCGAAAAATTTTATGATATAGGTGAATTATTAGTTTTAGGCACTGACCTCTATATATACAAGTATGTAGAGATCAGTGGTTTCAGGGGACTTTAACTTATATTCGTGTTCTACAGCTTTGAGCAATTATTATGAATAAAGTAGATAACTGCAACGATCTTTAGTTAGATCTAGTGTTGAGTACATTGGCCCAGGAAGGGCGTGTGAGTGTGCGCGTGGCGGAAATTCGGCTCGTGCCTGTGGACGCGTACCATCCCACCTAGTGGTACCTAGGGTACAAAACCTTAGTGTTCCTATACCATGCAGTTGCTTTTTCGTGATTTTAAATAGTATTAGACCTATATAATATCTACTGGTGTACATGCGGGGCAAGTATAGTTGTGTCTGTCACTCTTGCCATAGCAGTTATCCTGCTTATTCGCGTTAAAGAAATTTTTTTGATGAACTAAAACTTCGTACATAATTATAGTATAGTAATAATAATGTCCTCCAGACCGAATTTCGGCCACGGCGGCCTGCCTCAACGGAGGCTAGCCATCGGCGCAGGACAGGATTATAGTGCCCAAGTGTATGCGCAAGCACAGATGCACTCTCTATTCCCTCACTCTCATAATCTGATGGGACGATAAACCGACACGACCGGAGAGAGATCAGGCGCAGGACCAACGACTTTACGTGCTTTCCGAGGCACGGGCACGGGGGTGAGACACCGCTTCCTGATTCCGGGCAACTATTGAGAATTTCTTGACGGAAAAACTCAATAATTAATGTTTTTGGCCCGACCCAGGATTTAGTATAGTATGCAAGATATGAAGTGCTGTCTATACATATGGGAAAAATATCTTGCGAATTATTATTTTTAATAAGTCTGAGAACTTTATGTGGCTCTGACGATTAAATATCTTAAAATAATGGGTTCTAGCTCATAAGTTCCTGGACCAAAT